CACAACTCAAACTAAAATAGTTTCACTTGCAAAATTTACCCTGAGTGCGAGATGAAATAACATTCTTTCTTTTTATAAACGGAAATACTCTCTCTAAATATTTTCCACCAAGTATTGTCAACCACAGTCCTGGGGCAACACAAAGACCCTTTCAGTGATAAGCAGCTTGCTAGTCCCTGGGGCTGCTGATAGGGCAGCTCTCTCCCAGCCAGCAAGCCCTGGCTGCAGATTTGAGGGAGAATTTAAGAGAGAAATAGTCAGGGGAGACCAGGAGACCAGCTGGAGAGGGAAAGGAGAAGGAAGGGGAATGATTGAGTCTCCATAGAAGTGGGTAGATGCCTAAGTGTTGGCTCGTCATCCAACTGCCAGGTTTTTCCTAGTGTACCCTGTAAGTGTAGAGAGGATATCAAATAAACAGTGACACTGAATGCCAGGTTAGTTTAAGAACAGTCATAACCACTCCATCAGCTTTTCCTCCTGACCAATAAGCAGGCATCTGGCCTACTCACTTGGCTCTTAAAATTAAATGAACTCTAAAATGTGAAGTACTTTTGCAGTTGGAGACACTAGTGTGCATATTAATATTGTCATGTGTTGGTTAAAATTCAGTGTTGTGGGTTTTCTTGTCTCTGAAAGAAATTTTCAAAATGTCAGCTGGGAACAATAACCAAACATCACAAACTTACCCAGTAAATTAAACTATAGAATAGTCAGAGCTGAAAGTGAATCAAAATGTGCTTTTATCATTCATTGGATAAGTCAGTCTTTAAAAACCCCTTACAACAACTCAGGTCTTGTGGTACCATTCATTTATATTTCTTTCTTTTTTTCCCCATTCATTTATATTTCTTCTCCAAACCAAATGCTCTGCATTTGTCCACAAACCTGGTTGAATTAAATTCAGGGCAACAAGGTTCTTGGAAGAGGTGGGGCATGTGTCCAGCAGGATCTCCCTACCCTTGGCCTGTTTTTGAGTTATGGAAGACCAGACTAGTATAGTGGAAACACTGGAATGTGGGATACAGAGTGTCAAAGTAAGGACAACCAGACAACAGCATTTAGAATTTCAACCTAGGAAGGAATACAATAGACCAGCAATATTCACAGAAGCTGGGAAAGGTTTCACAGAATAGAGGCATGGCATTCTGATTTTAGATGGAGGGAGAGGAAGAGGGGGGTATCTTAGGCAAGAGAAGCCACATAAGAAAGACACAGCCAGCAGGTGTGGAAAGTAAATGCCCAACTAGAGCAATAGGTTTGTTTTTGCTGATAAAGACAAGCTAACTCGGGTGGGACAAGGCAATGGGAAACCTGGGAGGCTCTGCGGGAGGAATTTAGAGTGGATTCTGCCATATGGGGCTTGGGGAGCCATTGCAGGTGCTTGGGCAGAGGTGTGCCAAGATATTCCTAAGACAGGACCCTTGGAAAGGAGATGCTAATGAATCTGTTGCCTCTTTTTCTAGTCTGGGTATTTCAGTCTCCTCTTTTGTAGCTACTGCTCAGTTCTGCTTCGGCATGGCATAGTCTCACATCCAGATTCAAATGTCTATGTGAGGGCAGAACCAAAGATGGGGGGAACCTGGAGTAGAATGTTATTCTGTAATATTGGGAGTGCCTACTGCTGGAGAACCTAGAAGGTTCAGGAAAGCAGGACCATGTGTATTATCAGAGGCTGCACTCAACGCTGCCTCAGCTCCCCAGGGCCAGCAGGATTGATGGGCAACTATGCTGGTCACTGTGAAGTGGTCCAGAGAACGTGAGCTTGTAGGGTGCTGATGGAGACATTTTCCCAAGCGGCTGCCCATGCCCCAATTACCCTTTACTCTTCAACTTTAAGCCAAAGATTTTCTTTTACAGTCTGATTTAAAGATATGTCTTAAGCCAGGCCTCCAAGATACATGTTCCTTCCACATTATGTTTCTCTCCTTTAATGCTGCGCAGTTAAGATCTCTATACCCAGAGATCTTTTTGCAACTTTTTTTAAAGGGGGGAGAAACCAGATTGGGAAGAAATTCACTTTATTCATTTTGGGAAAGTAAAATGCATCTCACTTGATGGAATATTTATAAAAATTGGAAGTTCATTGTCAACTAAATCTCATTTATTTAATCTAGTATTACACTGCTTTTTTTTTTTTTAAACCAGATGGAAAACATTAGCAGTAATAGTGAACAACCATATCCAGGCTCCCAGAGGTCATTTTTTAACCACCATTAACAATCTGGTTTCACAGATTAGTAATATACAAAAGGCGATGGTCCAGTAAAAGATACATAAAAGGCAGCTGAAGCTCCTTTGCCCCTTATTTACCAAACATTATCTCCTTTTAAAAAATCACATTTATAAGTGAGACAGTTATAAAAAGTGGCAGATTTACCCAGAAGTTGCAGCAAAATATTTGTTTGAAATAGACACTGATGCAAAAGAAAAGCTTATTGTTAATGTCATCAGTAGATTTCCCTGTGGCTAATGTAGTTTCCCGTTACTACTTGTTTAATGGTTTCATACCTATGTAAACCTCTTAACTGTAGAAAGGAAATGCATTATTGTGTATCATAGTTTATTTTTATTTAATAACCTAATTAAAATACATTATAAAATAAACAGTCCACACAATATGCTCACGAATAATAATAAAAAAAAAACTTCTAAACTTGCCCATTCAGAAACAAATGGTCTCATTTAAATCCTTTTTTGAGTGATTGGAAAAGCTGTAGAAGGACAAAGTCTCATTATGCCTGTGGACTGCTGCATGTATTTGTGCACACTCATTTCTCCTCTTGTTCAGATCCAGTATCAATGGCTGAAACTTCTGTGCTTTTAAAGGGTTAACTGAGAATACACATAACAGCATATGATAGGCATTTTCTTCCATTTCAAAATACTGTTACTTTGGGTTTACAAAATTATGATTTGTTATCAACCTCCAAGTTACTCTTATTTCAGGTACTAGTATTTTTTTTTAACATTTATTTATTCATGAATACAGAGCTGGAATACAGGCCAGAGGTGCAGGGGTGGTGAAAGGATTCACCAGAGACAGAGTGGGGAGCAGAACGGGCAGATAGATGAAGTACACTGCTGAGGAGAACAGTGGGAGGGTCAGGAGAGGTCTGCCACACCATGTGGGTCACCTCCAGGGTGGGGATCAAACTCATGCTGAAGTGGCTTTAGCTTCTCAGTGCTGTGCTTTAAACCCGCTGCGCCACCAGGGAGGGCCTAGATACTGGTATTTTATAAGAATTATACTGAGGTCAAGATTTAAAAGACTTCACAGATATTTCCTCATTATGTTCTTATTCTATGGAGAAGGAAAAAAAGGTACTAAAATTCAAGAGCCTGTAGCAAGAAGTCACATCCGAGATGAGAGTGTGAAAGAAGCTGTGCAAATATGATCTTGGTAGTAGAGAAAATGCTGCTAGGGAACCATGGACATTATTGTCCTAGTGATGGGGAACCAGGCAAAGCTCTTTCTCCTAGCTATACACATATGCAGGGATATTTGCATATGTGCATAGTTACATATAAGTATTATACACACACGTGCGCACACAGGCACACATCCTTCATCAGGTGGATTGCAGAGTTGCTGTTTTTATCATCACACTGGAGGGTTTCCTGTCTGTCCTTGATACCATAGGACCTACTCAGGAGATATTGTTTCCTTTTTTGAAGAAATTTTACCTTGACAGCGAAATTTCCCAATATTCCTACAAGTGCTTGGGGCCATTACATTCCATTTTTGCTGAGGAAGAGAAATGAATAAACGGTGAGGAGAGAATTGAAATGATACATTCTGAACTGTGCTATAATTTAGAATTTACAAGCTCCTGGGGTCCCTTTCAGTGGCAACCAGACACTTTATGGCATACCTGGTATGTGTTCACTGGGCAAGGCACTGGGCATGCGGGAAGACTATGGCAGGCCCACCTGGTAGACAGGAAGGTGACTGAGCATACTGCAGCAGGAGCCATGGGAGCCGCTAATCCAATGCTAACGCACCCTGTCCACCTGCGGAGAAGGAGGACATCCATGGAACCTCAGTGCATCTTTGTCTTTGGATAGAAGTGAAAAGCTAACTCAACTATGTGAATAGCTGAAGATAGGAGGTTGAAACCTGCAAAATAAATTTGGATTAGCTGAATGATTGAATTTATTTGATTTATTTATCTTTTCTGAGTTAGAGAGACTCAATTTATGAGTGGAGGTAAGTACATTTTCTTAGATGTCCATCATTCTAGTTAGCACATAAACAAAATAAATGAAACAATCTAAAATTTATCTCCAGTATAGTTTCTGTTGTCAAAGACAGTAGCTAAGCAACTATCAGTGAGTGTGTGAATATGACGAAGTAACATGAGATAACTTCATATCTCTGTCACAGATTGATGTCTTTTCTCTCAATTATTAGGAAACTATCGATTATTAAGAAATTATTAGGAAATCATGCTCAATTATTAGGAAATCGCTCCAGGCTTATAATCACTCCAAGCACCCAAAGACAACAGGAGACTCCAAATTCCCACTGGTTTTTCACTGCCCCAAATTTTGGCATTCCAGGAAGGGAAGAGGCTTCCGTTTCCATGGTCTTAGGGAGCCTTCTGGTTAGTTGCCGACTTCTCCCTTCCAGAAGGAGTGGGACTCTGAATTTCTACCAGAATGTTGGTTGTGCAACCACCAACGTTGCCCACCCCAGCAATGACCTTCAGCAGCAAGGCTGGACAAGTGTGGGAGTGGAGCTGACTTTGGGACCCTGCTTTCAGGAAACTGCCTTCACAGGCAAGGTGCCCTCACCTTCTAGAGTTCGCAGCACCTTCTAGAGAGCCCCACCAAGGTCCAGAGGGATTGTGCACATGCAAATGAGGATAACATTTGGTTCTGAGAACTTCTGCCTTCAAGCTATGTTAAATAAGCTCTACCGCAAATAGTAAAAGAAAATGAAAACTTTCAGAAAATAGCCTACAGAAAACTAATATTTTTTCTCCTTTTTTTTTTTTAAGGTGAACACACTCAAGAAACAAATTCACCTCATTCACTCAAAAAGGATGTAGAAAATATGGGGAAAGGTAAGGAGTTTTCATTCTAGAGAACTTCTCTTAGCCTTAAAAGACTATAGAGATAATAGGAGGATATTTTTGTTCTGCTCCATATTTTAAGCTTGACAAGCAACATATGAATAATATATGGACCATTGGGTGGATATAATTGAGATTAATGCATACATATCAATCAATACATGACACTGTAATATAATACTTTAAAATAATATATTACATTGATTTATATTCATGGATTTCTGCACAAAATCTATCCTATGTCTATGCAACACTTTTTAAGCTGGTAAAATATTTTGTCTTATAATAATAAATTGCCATATATAACAGTTCTCTGGAGAGTTATTTGTAAAGATTAGTAAAATGACTCTTCTTTTTTTCTTTATTAGAAGAACTTCAGAAGGTTTTATTTGAACAAATAGATTTACGGAGACGACTAGAACAAGAATTCCAAGTCTTGAAAGGAAACACATCTTTTCCAGTATTCAGTAAGAAATCACTTTTGTTTCATTATATTTATAATACTTGATAAAACTCCTTTTAGTAAGCTTAAGAAGATACTGCTAAGTATTAAGTAACTATATAAAATTCTACAGTCTTCCCATGGTTTCTGTTTAAATATTCAGAAATTTTGGTCTCTTATTTATGCTTTGAATCTGTTCAGTGATAAAATGTCTTGTCAAAACATTTTAAACATTACTGTTTTGTTACATGTATATCTTTATGCATCTATTGTTTGTATTTCAAATACATATGAAGTACACCATTACATAGGTAGGTATATTTAAGTATTGAAGTGTTTTTAGATTTTTTTGTAAAACAAAATAATTAGTTGGGTATTTTTTTCTTTGAAAGTAGTGGGGGAAAGGAAAATTACTTTTTATTCTCCCATAATACTGGAGAGCTGACTCGTGTTTAAAGTAGATATAAATATGAAGATTTTAAATAACTCCAGGTACATCTACCTATTTTATTAGTTTTAATTAGTATGGTTTCAGTAGTTTTGGTTCTTGATCCATATTGAATGTTAAAATTCCATCCTAAATTTGGAGGCTGAAGAGGCTGTGTTGTAAAAAATGTTGGTTGGACTCCCAGAGTGCAGGAATTTCACACTTTATGCGAGAAGTCCAGATTTCTAAAAACCACAGCACTGAACATTTGGACAAACATCCCAGTAGTGTTTTTTCAAAATTTTTGAAGTTTCATTTAATTATAATCCCCTCCCCAAAGACAGGGAAATAGGAAGAAAGCACATGTAACTGTGTATTTCAAATTCTATGAATTTCATATTGAATTTTCTGGACCTTTTTATAATAGGTCATTGTGTCCCTTGTCACTAATCTAAGCATTGCAAAATTCATGTTGGCTTTTGGTGCGAAGAGTCAGAGGTCTGAAAGAATTTTCATCCATTGTGACAATTTTAAGAATTGTGCATGACTGCATTCACCAGGTCTTCTCAAATGTAATTGGCATGACAGAAAGATATGCCCTCTCAGTGTTTTTGACTAGTACCAGGTTTTCTGTGACATGTCATTCTAGGACCAGGAAGAACAGTGGGGTCTGCCAAGTTTGTGATCTTGGGCGCCCACCTGGGAGGTTGGGAATTCAGGGTGCTCGGTATTTTGAATTCAGTGGATGCCTGCTCAGGCTTTGGAAAAAGTTCTAGCAGTAGAGAATGGCCAGCAGTTTCTGAGGGGCTGTTGGGACCCCCCCCCACCCCCCCGGATATTTGTAGCTTCAAGAGAAAGAGAAACATTAAAATGCCTTTGAAATCTTTAAAAATCTGATGCTTCCAAAGGATCCAGAAATCTCTAACTTACAAAACCGCAGTGAGCAGGCCCTGAAGGACTTGTTTCCCTTCTAAGCTGATGCTGACCCCTGAGAGCTCACATACCTGCTTTCAGATCCAGCAGATGAGAACAAGTCCCGAGACACCCTCCGCTGCCCACCTAACTCCCCATGCAGCTGGTGTACTGCGATTAACCATTAATAAAAGCTAATCAATCACTTCTAAGGAATAAGTAATTTATACATTTTCCTTATTAGCTGCTCTGCTAATATAAAGGTGTCTATATTCTTCGTTTTTAAAAAAAAAATTTAAATGGTTAGGGGCCTCCCTTATGGCTCAAGGTGTTAAAGCCCAACATTAGGAAGCCGTCCGCAGCCACTGCAGCATGAGTTCAATATCTGGCCAGGGAGGTGACTCACATGGTGCATCAGACCTCTCCTGTCTTGTCTGCTGCTCCCCTCAGCAGTGTACTTCAGTAGATCCCCCTGTTCTGCTCCCCACTCTGTCTCTGGTGAATCCTCTCACCCCTGCACCTCTGGCCTATACCCAGTTCTTATATGCATAAATAAATAAACTATTTTTTTTATAAAATCAGGGTGGTTAGTACAACAAGCCAATCTCTATTCAGACCTATCATTTATCCCCTGATCTGAATGAAAATAGGTCCTTTGTGATTGCCACACATATGAAATACTTCAACCAAACGACAACAAACTTCCCTCTTTTCCTCTACAATCTACTCTGCTGACCAAGGAAGTGGCATGCATGTATGTATGTGCCCAAGTTTGAATAATGCGTGGTTTAGACATACCACAAAGAGGCAGTTAATTTCACACCAATAAAAAATAGCAAATGTTAAATAAATGCAAGAGGTGGTGAGGCTAGCAGACAGATTTGGATTGACTAAAATGGAGAAGGGAAAAGGCAACATGTAAAGCCACCTCAGAGGGAGCATAGACAGTCCCTGCCAGGGTTTGCAGTACTTTTTACTAGAAGGTGGTCAGATATCTAAGCCTCGATGCCTAAACTCAGTCCACTTCAAACGCGGTGTGGCCTGTGTCGATTGGGGACCCAGGGTCAAAGTCACCCAGGCCAGCGCTCACCTGGAGTCCCGCTACTTCCTGATTAGAGGACTTTGGAAAGGTGAAACTGGTGTTTCTGAGCATTACTGAGGGCTGCAGGGTTGAATCTGGTAGTGGAGAGGGTTAGTAAAAGATTAGAGGAAGGAAGAGGAGGGAGTAAAAGAGGAGGAATAGGGAAATGTGGAGGAGGAGGAAGGAAGGAAGGAAGGGGAGGAAGAAGAGGAGGGAGCAAATCTCGATACTTGGGAGGCAGAATTTGGGGGGATAGAACAGGCACGTCTCTACATGCACAAATACTTCTGCATGACACTGGTGAGGAAATAGAGAGGAAAGGAAGATTTTAAATAGCAGGGCAAAGGAGGCATTTAGTATTAGGGTGCGGGCTGCTGCCGCCTCCAGCTTTACCCACTGACTCCCCTGCTGAGTGGCTTTAGGCAAGTAAGCTAACCTCCTTTTCAACCATAAAACACTACTACTACCTTCCTCCTGAGGTTGCTGAAAGAGTGAGATGTAGTAAAATGTTTAGCATAGTGAGTGACCAATCCATAGTCATGGGAGTTATGCTGTTCATACCATTGTAAAGTTGCTACTTCTATTCCTGCAGGGACTTGATAGTAAATCAGCTGATATTAGAAGCCAGGACTTTTACAGATTTATTGGGTTGTCGTTTAGAAGTGTGGAACAGGCAGCGACACTGGTTTTGAGACCAGACCATAAGTCTAGGTGACAAACTGGATAGGACATGAAGCGGGAGGTGAGGAGAGCATCTCCAGGAAAGGTGTGTGAAATGTAATCTACAACAGGGAAATGGGGATTGTATTTGGAGGGCATGGATGAGGTTCTGCACCGTCCTCAAGGCTACTCTAAGGACGTTGTTCAGCGTCAGTCGTGTTCAGTCAGTCAGGAGTAAACGGTGAAGGAGCCTGCCTCCAGAAGCCACCATTCCATTCTGGAGCGTCCATGAATGACTGGTCCCATTACCTGCAAGCTCTGATGGCACCAAAGCTCCCCACTGTGTCCACCTTCTCTGGAGAGTTTCTCCTGGTTCCCTTCCCCTCGGATACCCAATATTATGATAGCACCCACCCGCGGCTGTAGTTCTTTATTCATTGTTCTTTCTTCCCACTAACCATCAGTATAACCTCAGAGCCGGCCCTGAACCTGGGCCTTGCTAAGACTGAAAAATACGGCAGCAAAGGGAGCTCATCCTTTCCCTCTCAACCCCCTCTGCCCCCATTACAGCACACCCAGGGTTCTCACTTCTCTTCCCCACTCTGTCCCATCCTTCCCATTCTTCCTAAAACTCTACCTTTGCTTCAAGCATTTATAGTAAGCTATTGTTGCAGACTGTATGTGTCTAATTTAACTCCTAACTGACTCTCAGAAGCCTCCATGACTGCACCACCCTGCTCTGCCCTGTTATTTCTACCTGGCCTGCTCAGCTCCACTTACCTGCAGGCTGTTCTCTCACTTTCTGCCTCTGCAAACTCTGCTCTGATCTGGACACCCCCTTTACCCCCAGCCAGCACCCCTCATCATGCAGGACATTCAAGTCCCTCCACCCCCAGGAAGGCTGCCCACTGTGTTCAGTTCTAGTTCTTCTGTGTGTTTGTGTTGACTCCTGCCCTTTCACACAGGCTGCCCTCCTCTGCCCTGAGGGTTTGTCCCCAGGCCCAGCCCACACAGTACCTGCATGTTGTGGGCACATTACATCCTGTCAGTAAATGGTTGTTATACATTTTGGTATCATATTCAAAAAGAATAAACTGACAACAGAGGATGAGACTGAATCACTGATAACTGTGGTATTGAAACAGGAAATTTCCCAAGTCTGCTGCTTAGATTCTGCTACTTTCCCAGGCCTGGCCAGACGTTGTTCTCCGTGCTTGAGGGAGTCTGTTGCTTGGATTCTGCTACTCACGGGAGCAGAAAGTCCCTGCAGTGTGCTGCTTGTCCACAGTCGTAGCTGTGGCTACTTTGACCCCTTCCCGAACAATAAAGAATGCTTATGCTATGGTGGGTGGGATGACAAGGTTCACGCAACCTCTATAACCCCTCACCATTCCTGTAACTCGGGACTGAGCCCACTGAGCCCGCCGGTGTGGCACGCAAATGTCTCTCTCCAGCTCTCTGAGTGCCGTCTGGTTTCTCTGGGAAATAGCGGTGACCGCATAAAGGGAGTGAGGACTCCTGAATCATGTCCTTGGGTGTGCAGGGATGAGGCATTCACGGCCATTTATGACAGGGAAGGCCTCATGACTGGACTTTATGAAAAACCCCAGCAGTCAATTTTGACCATGTCATCATTTTAGATTCATTTACGTGCCCCCCCATCTTTTTTTAAAATTAAATTTATTTTCTTACATCATTGCTAGTTTTTGGATAGTATTTGATTTCTCCCACTAGTACACTTACTTAGGCTCTCCCAATTTACTGATAAGGTCACCTCATTTTACAAACAAGCTACCTTTCCTCTGCTGGCCTATGGCTGCCCCGCCTTTCACCTGTGGCTGTGACTGGTTTCACTCTGCGTCCTGTGGTTCCTTTCCTTCATTCCCCGCTTTCTGAAGCAAATGTAGGAGGAGGTGAAATGAAGGAATTCTAAAAAACTGTACAGATCAAAAGTCTCAGGAGTTGTTTAAAGTTAAACAACTTTACATTGTTGTTAACTTGATGTTAACGAAATGTTAAAACCTGTATAAAAGAGAAGCATCCCAAAGCTGATGGGTGTAGCCTGACCCGTGAACCAGCTAAAGCTGATGGGCCTGCTGTTTACTTTCCGGTCCCAGGATGGTGGGCTGGATATTTTTTTTTGCACATAGGAGATCTGGGATGTATGGGAAGGGGGACATCTGATGAGAAGATTCACCAGAGACAAAGTAGGGAGTAGAACTGGCAGATTGACTGCAATACACTGCTGAGGGAGCAACAGGCAGGTCAGGAGCGGTCTGCTGCACCATGTGGGTCAGCTCCTGGCTGGGGGTCCAGCTCAGGTATAGGGTGATAGTGCTGAGCCTTAACCTCTGGGCCACCAGGGGGGATTTTTATGCTGTGATTGCCATGGCTTTTCAAGCCAAGTTCCAGCCTTTGGCAGTGTTGGGCAGCAGACAGCTCTTCGGTGTATCTCAGAGAAATCAGTTTCATTATTTTTATCTTCTCCAGCTAAACTGTGCCCTCATCAGCCTTTGGAACATAGTAAAAATTTGGCTATTTTCATTTGCCAGTGAACAAGCTTTGTACCTCAAAAGGTATACACATACCCATTGTAGAAAATCTTATACAGAAACACTAAAGAAATAAGAAATTAAAGTCACGCCAAGTTTTGCCACCTAGAGATTAATGAAGTTAACATGTGGAGGTCCAGCCTTTTTAATGAATTATAATCCTTTTTTAAAACAAGATGAAATATCATACACACTCATTTTAACCCTACTTTTTCCCTACTTTTTGCCAGAGACCTCCTTGGGATGTGCTCTGGTATTGGGGAAAGACGCTGATTTTCCCAGAGGCACCCAGCCCAGGACAGGCCAGAGCCTGTAGCTGTGGCCATTGCAAAAGTCAGGTTCCCTGTTGCTCTGTGTGCAGTGTGTGGGCTTTGACCTGCCTCCAGGCATCCTGTGGTGGCAGAGTGGATGCCAGTGTAAGTCAAAACCATCCACTCTCCCTTTCCAGTGTAGACTGGAGCTCATCCACACCAGCATGGTTGTTACCAAAATTTAAAGTCCAGAGCAAGAAAGGCCTCAGAGAACCCATGGCCCCACACCCTCCTTGTGGGGATATAGTTCTGAGTGGAGTGGGGTAATTACTGCCCAGTACAGAAATCAGACCTCTTGTGGATACTTAATGCTCTTTTCACTCTTCGTTCTCACTAACTCCTGCTGTGTGCCAAGCACTGTGGTAGACTTGGGAAATTCCAAAAGTATTTACCTTCCTGCCTGCCAAGACCTCTGCTGTTTAGCTAAGAAACTAAGATATGTAATAGGTAATCGGAGTTGGCTCAAACAGGCTCTCCTCCTTGTGTGTTAGGGGCACATCACTAGGGTCTGTGCAGGGCTCTAGAGGGGTTCAAGAAAAGGATGCCTAATTTGGCATGAGATGGCAGGAGAATTAAGAGAGAATTTCTTGAAGAGATAGCATTTGAACTGGACAAAAAAAAAAAAAAGATGTTTGCTACAGGGCAGGCCACAATAGGGCAAAAACATCAGGGCGAGCGTACCAAGGCTGGAAGTGTGTGTGTGTGTGTGAGGACTGCAGAGTGCATTGCTGGGCTTCCCCCGCTCTGCTCCCCTCTGCTGCCACCAGGGGAGGCTCTCACAGTTCCCCACCCTCCATGGCCTGTGCAGAATGCTGTTCTCCACATCTCTCCCCAAAAGATTGAGAGCTTCTCCCTCAGCCCTTGCACAGCACCTGCGTACTCTGTTATAATGCCTTTCAGGAAATACGTGCTTTTAGAATGGAGTTGTAAAAGACAAAACTTTGGAGACATTAAAAAGATCAATGAGGCCCTCCCTGGTGGCACAGCGGGTTAAAGCACAGCACTAAGAAGCTTAAGCCACTTCCTCATGAGTTCAATCCCCGCCTGCCCCTGAGGTGACCACATGGCGTGGCAGACTTCTCCTGACCCGCCTGCTGCTCCCCTCAGCAGTGTACTTCATTGATCTGCCTGTTCTGCTCCCCACTCTGTCTCTGGTGTATCCTCTCACCCTCCGCATCTCTGGCCTGTACCCCAGTTCTGTATGAATAAATAAATAAATCTTAAAAAAATCATTTAAAAAAAAAAAGATCAATGATTCCTGGGGAATTAAGTGGAAAGGAGAAAAGGCAGAGCATAGAGGACTTCAGGGTGGTGGGAATACTCCTATGATGTAATGGTGGAAATATGTCATTATCCACCTGTCCAAAGCTAAGGAATGCACAGCCCCGAGAGTGAGCCCAAAGGTAAACTCTGGAGTTCCGATGATTAGGTCATGTCAGTGGAGGTTCATCAGCTATAACAAATGTACCACATTGGTGGGGAGATGTTGATGATGGGGAGGGTGGAGAATATATGGGAAATCTCTATACTTTCCTCTTAATTTTTTTTATAAATATAAAACTGCTATTTTAAAACTCTTTCTAAATGTATAATTTTTAAAATTACCTCATGGGCTTAGGGAAGACATTCAAATAGTACAGAAAGGCAATAGTTAAAAAAATAAGATTTTTAATGCCAAAGTATATAGAATTTCATGAATGGCAGGAACTTATCTTAAAAACAGTGAAAGGCACAGATTTTCAAGCAGGAGAATGAAAGGGATTTGGAAAAGGAAGAACTAGAAATCAGGTGGTCAGCTGGAGCTCTCTTCAGGGAAGAAGTGTCTGCACCCTGGAGGTGCAAAGAGAAGAGAGCAGGGAGGTAGAGTGTGCAGGATTCACACCAGTTGGCTAAAGAGCTGAAAGGAAGAAAACAAAAGATGATGACAAAGTTTCTGGCTTCTCCAAACTGCTGGCTCCACTATCCATCATAGATGCAATATGAAATTGTGCTGAAGTCTCATTTAAGAAAAAAAAAAAGCTGCCGTTAGCCATAGCCACATTTTAAAAAGACCACATGCGATAGGCACTAAGAAATCACTTCCATAAATGCAATATAAGTGATCAGCATGTAATATGGCATAACAATATCTCTCAAAATCCTTCGCTCCCCCCCCCAGTACCCCCAGACTCCTCTAATCAGATTGAGGCAAAGTCTGTAGAACCACACCAGACCCAAGGAGGGCCAATACAATGAGGCTTATATGGGTGAAAGAATTTGCAGGTTGGGAGAGCCGAGGCAGAATACATGTATCGCTCTCTTAGGAGTGAACTGAGCTGCCACGAAAGCAGGCAGGCATAGCTAATAGACCTGGTTCCTGTCAACCTGAAGGCCTGCCAAGTGTCACATCCCAGAAGGGGTGATCAGCTCTAACTGAGGCTCACCTTGCACTCACATAAGTCTTCTGAAGGGATGGATGTGCACCATACTGTAGCTTGCTCTGTTAAGGGGAAGGATGTCCTAAAGGAACACTGCAGAGTCTCATGGACTCCACCCCCTACTCCAGCTTTCTGGACCCCACCCCCTACTCCAGGGATTGGAAACTACAACTCCCAGCAGTACCAGGGAGAGAACTGGAGGACCCAAGGGTGGAGCTAGCAGGAATTCTGGGACATTTGGGGGATAAATAGGGCATAATTGCAAGCAGCTCTCCTGACCACATGACTCCCGTTGTGTTCAGTCAGCCTAGCAGTAAGGTATTCCAGTGACTTTGTATCCTGCTCTCTTTCTCTGAGTTGTTTCCTAGTCCTTTCCTCTTTTGTAAATAAACCCGCTATTGACCCTTTTGTGTGTACCTGCAGTATAACCGAATTGTGAGTGCCTGCGGGTCAGGCCCCACAGACAGGTGGCCCAGTCCGCTCTGGGCTACCCTGTAACAGCTCCAGTGTAAAAGGCTGGGAACATGATGACACCAGACATTCCTAAGGACTTGTTTTATACAAGGCATTTTACTAGATGGGCTATCAGATACTGGGAAATATAAGATATAAATCTTACCCTCTCAGAATGTACTGTGTTGATTAAATCACACAATTGTAAAACCATCCTTCTAACAACTGTATTACTTACTTTAAAGAAATACCAAAAGGGAAGAGTGAGAGGTTTTTTACTGGACTGTCAGTTATTAGTTATTATAATAATATTACTAAGTAGATTTTATCCTTTAATTTTAAATGTTTCTCTATTTCTCTTCCTACCAGATAATTTTCAGGATCAAATGAAAAGGGAACTAGCCTACCGAGAAGAAATGGTGCAACAGTTACAAATTGTAAGATGCATTTCTGTTTAAACATAATTGCAATTTCCTGGGCTTCTTTTCAAACCATCCAGTATCTAAGAAAATGTTCCTGGTTTTGCCAGTGAAATCCTTTAGTCCACTTACCCCTCAGCTGGTTTAGATGCTAATTACCAAGAGATTTACTTAGACAGGATAAACAGATGCGTCTGTACGTTTCCTCTAAATGTAACTACCTACCATGTGTTAATAGACAGATGTGTGAATTGTCTCTGTGGGCAAACCAGAGGTACCTGCATTGTTTCCCACTGTACAAACTTGTTATTACGGTGCCAGCTTGTGCTGGAAGCTCTGTGAGGGGAAACTGCTCTCTTCCTACTCCAGTACTCAGCCCTGAACCAGGCTGTCCAGTGTCAATAGAAGTTAGTATAAACACAATTAATCAATTATGTTCACTTGTAGGAGCATGAAAAGAAATTCTTTCCAAGTGAAATGTTACTTTTTCCTATTCTAATCATGTTTAAAAGCAGATATTTGGATCTACTAATACAGAGAGAGGGAAACAGAAAGATGTCTGGCAAATAAAGGTAGCCAGATTTGTTTGCTTTTCAGCTTTTGTTTTTCTGAGTTTCTCACCCATTGTCCCTAAGCAGCTCTCTCTGGTATTACTCTATAGTGCATTTAAAGCAGCCCCTAAGCTTCCTCATTTTCATGAGCACATGGGGGAAATGACTTCTGTGCAATATTTGTGAGATTTTGTGGTCACCTAGACAGGACAGACCCTCATCCTTAGAAGCATTCACAGCATGACTGTTACACTTTGGGTGTTGGGCATTTTTGAGCAGGTCCTTATACGATTAAGCATCACTCTCCACTACCTGCTTGTTTTATCCAGACTCAGGCATCTAGCTTTTTGTCAGGATTAAAGATCAAGAAACTAGATATGCAGGATACTTTTTTAAATGTGGCTATTCATTTTCCTTTTCTGCCAGTGTGAATGCAGGCTCCTCCATTTTTATAAGAAATCATGCCAGTGTGAATGCAGGCTCCTCCATTTTTATAAGGCATCCTTGTAATATTTGAAGATGTTTCCCCCATTCAGAAGTCTCTGTACAAAGTGCTGCCTGTAACTCAACACATCTGTTATTTCTCTTGGCCAGTTAATAGCTCTCAGTTCTGAAAACCACCTCAGTGGTAGCTTGCTTTCTTAAATTACGATCTTTCTTCTTGTTTTGGTTGTGTCTGTTGGATTTTCATGCCCCTAAATCCACTGGAGAGTGAAGGGATTTTCTTAATTGATTGTCAGTTAACCTCCAGAGGTTAAAAAAATTGTGTCTACTATTCTTAGGTTTTGATACTTAGATAATAAGAGCTACTAATTACTTGCTGCATTTTATATTTATTGAACTTTTGTCTAAGGAAGAATTTATAGAATTGGAGGTAGAGAGATATGAAAGCATAAGACCTTTCTGTTTTGTGTATTAGTAGTTATACTTGCAGACTCTTAAAACAAAAATTGCCACATATGCAACCAAAAACTTGTGATTTAGGGGTGGCAGCAGCTATGGAGAAGTGGGCATTAGGAAAAGAAACTAAAGATGTAGGCCCCTGTTTATAGCCAGTTAATGCCCAATTTTCTTTGATGTTCATTTCTTTAGTAAAAGAGGACGTGATAGTGAATTGATGGAATAAATACTGTGCTGATAGAAAAAAATTGTGTTATGTTTGACATATTTGGTACATGGCTGATATGAATTGATCTGGTAGACATCTTTATGGTAGTATGTTGCAAAACATTTATCAGCATGTGTTCAATTTTCAAAGGATCTAGATATCACTTCGTCTAACCAGAAGTTATTTCTGGTTGCAACTTGAGTTCAAAACTTCGAGTTCTTTGTGTCAGCTCCTCAACTTAAAGCAAGGATGTTTTCCCAGAGATAAGCACCATATAATTCCTGACATCTACAAAAGCACATTCAGGTTAACAACACAAATATTGGTGAAATAGACGTCATTTGTCCTAAATGCTACTTTCTTTAGTGTCCCCTGGTAAAGATGCCCAGATTTCTCATACTAAATTTAGCACCAAGCACAGTATCTAGCATTAAATAACTATCCACGACACATTTTTTTAATGAATTGCCACTGATGCTCCGCTCCCAGTTGTGATCCTCCCATATAATGCAGCCCTCTGAATTCTCTTCCAAGTTTCCCTGGTCCCAAAGTCTGTTTGCATTAAGTAACCACTGTGAGAACTATACTGGTGAGCTATAGAAAACTTAATACGATCACACGGACATGAGCTTTAATGTCTGTAAACTTGAGTTCAAAATTCATTCCACCTAGTTCATTTTGTCAGTTCCTCAACTTAAAGGCCCTGATAGTGGGTCTAACCTAATTCCCTGACAGGTATAATAAGGCAAAAGTATGTAATAAATATGAAATGTACCTGCCAGTCAAATAGTGCAATATTGATATAAGAAATCAATTCAGTGGTATTCCCCTCCTCAAAGCCAACCTACTGAAGTAGGACTTATAGTACTGGAACTATGTCAGCCCTGGTGGATGGAGATATTTTCTGTGCTTGCAAGACTGTGTTCACATTATACTCTTTGCTTTAGAATTGTTTTAGAGTTTAACAGATTCAAGTTTACTTGAACAGAAATTTATCTAGTCCCCCATTCAGCTTGTATTTGCTAAGATACCTGTAGGAAAGAGCCTTTAGAGAGATTACCAAGCTGCTAGGTATCACAACTCCTGACTTAATACTTTATGCTTCAAATCTCACATTGAAATAAATGCACATTCCAAGCTGCTAGGTATCACAACTCCTGCTTAATAGTTTCAGTTGGATGGTCTAATTCATCAGTAAATATGGCTACATGCCTTTCTCCCTAAGAACAGAATGATTCACTCAAAATCATTATCTTATATTTAAAGTTTACAGAGCACATATAACAGAATAGTCATTTGCCTACAGAATAGGTATTTTTTTTTCCTTTAGATGAAATAATTACCCACCCTATCTTGCAATCATGGAAAATTCGAATATATTAAAGCCATCATATTTGGTAACAATTCCCATACCCACAGTGCATTTATCTTATGCAGTTACACAGTGTTCTTATTCAAAAGATTATATAGAAATCATCTTGGGTATCATTACCAGAGAAAGAAAAGTTATGAATTTTTTTGGCTCCTGCATTTTTAGATCCTCTGCTGACTATAATTTCTGCACCATTGCTTTCTTTTTCAGTTTGTTAAAAGCAAAGTTGTGATGACTATAGAGCCAAATGATAGACTCTCTTTGTGCATTTATAAAAGAATGTGCATTTATCTCAATGTGAGATTTAAAGCATACACAGTTTATTTAACATTTATACATGGACCACAAACTAAATTTGTAAAAATATCTTAAAGGTACAGTTTTATAGTATTTAACACACTTTGTGCTAAAGTCCCTCGTCTCTACCCTGGGTTTTCAAGTAAACATTTTCATTACTAAAACAGATTTATTTATACAAACAATGAGATAGACTTACAATGAACCAAATACAAAAGCTTTAAAATCTAGTAAGTTAATGAAAGTGTTAGCATAGACCAAAAGCTTTCTCATTCACAAGCAAATTGTGGTTCTAGGTAAAATTTGAAAGCCAAATCCACTATCCCTTAGGGCTAAGAGAGAGCAAAGACACTAATACAATGTTTTATGTCAAATGTATCTCAATTAAAAAAATAAAGAAGCTGAAGCTTTTTACTTAGTGTATGACCTATTGATTAAAGTTTTTCCAAGGGCTGCAATGTCATATAATTTACAACATGAGCTGAGGCCATTATAATGCCGAGTAACCTTCTTTTATTGCTAATTTCACACACATAAATTGTTTTTAAGCTACTATAGTGGGTTTGTTGAAGAGGTGCTCTTCATTACTCATAGTTCGTAAAGAACATTGTTAAGCTGCAAGAAAGAGCAGGATAAATATGGTACCTTGATTCACATCCTCCAACTTGCAGGATTGATACTGAGGGGTGCAAGAAGCTCCAATGTGCTAGTCCTGAAGTGCCCTCTGCTGTTTTTCCAGAATGCTGCAGTCACACATAGCCGGGGGACCCAGTTCCAAGTTCTTCATTAAAAGACTCAATTAGAATAATGTTCAATCAATAGATTTAGTACTAATGTGTCTTCACTGTGGCCTTGTAAAAAAAAGCAGCTTACGGCTTCCTGGTGGTGGGAGCGTGGTGCTTCTTTGCTGGAAAGGAGCTTGAGGCCTTTAGCATTGCTGCAGGAACACTCTCTCTCCATCAAGGGCACAGCTCTTCAGCGACATGGTGTCGTCTTGGAGGCACTCCAGTATTCATTAGGATGGGAACTTGCCCAGATCCCTATTGTCTCAACACAGGGAGTTTTAAAAATATCATTTACATATATATATTAAATTAGCTACAACTGTCTTCTACTCTGTCTTCTACTTCTACTGGAGGAGTTTGGTTTTGTGGTGAAATATGTAGCAAAAGGAGGTTCTTGTAAGTCAGAGACTTGATGCAAAGTTGAACTTCTGTCTACCTAAAGAGTCTCCTAGCAGCTGATGGACTGGCTCCAGGGATCTTTTGCCAATGTTTGACCTACAGCCCTGCCTCTTGACAATGCAGTCACTTGTCCTGCTATTATATAGCCTTCTTCACAGCTGTCTCTTTTTGAATATAGACTCACTTACCTGTCTAAGCTCAGGCACAAACTAAGAAGTTATATTTTTTGGTAATAATAAACACGGGGGAGTTAGTTGATTTAGAAATTAAATAACTTTGGGGAGTTTGTTTTTTGGTTTCTTGTTCATGCTAATGCTAGTGCTCTCCAAGTTGGACAAAATAAAAAGACAACCTTTTGACGTTCTACTATATTGAGATTTATGTGGGATAATTAACTTGAATGGAGCCTTCAGGACCCTGAGCTCACAAGTTGGGGAGCATTTGCTGAGGTCTTTCTCTGTAAATCCAATTATTGCATTTTATGGTATCTGAAGCACCATCAACCATAAGAAACAACACTAACTGATAAAGAAACAAAGCTTCCAACTGTTATTCTAAGATACATCAGTTGTACCACAACCAAGTTCTGACATGTTAAAATGAAAGGGGAAAAGAATACTTGAGAATCAATGAAATAAGATTATTTCCATGAGCAGTTGAGCCAATAGTTCCTTATTTATCACTCATGATTTAGGACTTAGAATTAAAAATACAGTTTCAGCTCACAACCTTTTGCTTTTTTGTCTTTGTCGCTAGTGGGTTCTCTTTTGTTTTGTAATAAACGCAGCAACCAATATTTGAGTGCAGATCATTTTTCACACGTAGTTGAACTCTAGTGTGGCGATTGGGGAAGCAAATGTGCTCACTTGGACATGTCCTTGCCATGTGCTGTTTGTCTTTTTCTCCTCTTTCTCACTTTCCTGTCTTAGTGAAATGTTGCGCTGCTGTTTCTGAAAAGAAAGAAAGGGGTTTTCTGATCTGAAAGTGGTGCCCTACCAGCGATTTTCTTTGAGTTAGGATGATGGGCTACTGACCTTGGTGAGCTGCCCATGGTGATGTTAGCTTATTTTGTGTAGTGGCTGGCTTGGAACAGGACTTACTAACTTTGGGGGGACACCTAATCTTCATGTGGAGGGCTCTTTCTAATGTGAGAATGGTACAAATACATTCCCCTAGATGAGTCCTTGTACCTCAAGGTTTATATCATTTCTATGCGTCACCCTAACTACCAGAATGGCTCTCAAGGCTCTGCTGGAAGAAGCAGCTAAAGAGAGGTGATCCATGGGTGTTGGCCTATTGAACGTGCACCATAATGGAAAATCAAGATTCGAGTGTATCTCTGTTAATAGCAGGTGTAGCATAACCTAGAGTGAAAAGAAGAGGTAATTAGAGTAGGTCGCTGTGTAACTGTTCTTGACATAGTTATCTAGCTGATCTCAGCTCGTGTCTTAAAATATGAGATTAGGACACTGAACTTTTTATGGAACTACATGAATCATTAATTTCAATGCTACTATCTATGCCCTTTATCAGATATGTGACTATCGTATATATCCATGTGTGGCTTGCTATCAAAATAGCAAGGTTATTTTAGTCATCTCTTTTTTTTGCTTTAAAAGTATTGTTAGGTTTAGCTGACCAGTTATTGTGGCAAAATAACCCAGCTCATCTTTGTCACTGGTGTTGTAGATTCTAGCTCCTTTCCATTAACAAAGGTTCTTATTTAGGGACTGGTGCATCAGGAGAGCAAAACATAAATACGCTCAAAGTGTGGGGGATATACATAGTAGTACTCAAAAATATTGTTTAATCGAATGAAAATGACTTTATTTCCCTTGCTGTTTTCACATATCAGTCAAACTTTATGATACAGTCTAGAAGGCTGAACATTTATCCCTTTAAATGTAAAATAGATTCAAATCTTTAGAGTCCTAGGCTTATTCTTGTAATAATGAAGGTAAGTAATATAATGATAGGGTAATTTAGCTGGGGTTAGAACAGAGGCAAATCTAAATAATACATGTAGTCCAATTTCAACCATTTGAATTTTCTAATGAAAAGTAGCATATCAAATGTGATAGTCTTTCCTTCAAAGCCCAGTATTGAAAAATACTTTCAAGTTCATCCAGTTAGAATTCTCAAGGGTGGTATTTTCCATGCAGTGCAATTATTGCTGATGCTTCTTAGTATTTATTGGGAAATTACCCAGAGTAATAGTTTGTGTTTAGTTAGTTCATCTTATTTGTGGCTTATAAAGAGGCATATTTTACTACTCTTAATTAAATGAAAGATTACATTGAAATAATTTGTAGTCACATTCTTGTTGTGTGACCTTGAACATACATTATAAAATCACAAATGTTTTTGTACCTAAATAAAAAATGATACTATATTGTTAAATACAACTTTTTAAACCTTCTTTAAGTGAAATGCTAAATATTAGCCTCAGAGACCAACTGTAGCAACAATCCAGTGTGCTCACCTGTTCAGTGCTTCTTCACTGGCCTGATGAATGTCATACCCCAGAAGTCTTACGCTGAGTCTCTCCCCTCTCCCCTGACCCACTGGTATTCAACTTGTTAGACTTTGATGAAGGGCCTCCATCACACATCTGTCTCCCAATTTCACTTACCAGGAGAATTTTTCCTGTTTATTTTACAGATCCCCTATGCAGCAAGCTTAATCAGGAAAGAAAAGCTTGGTGCCCATCTCAGCAAAAGCTAAAAGGTGAGTTCACCAGGAGAAAGAGACTTACCGTAACTCTGAGTTGTTATTGCTTGGCCATGTACTTTATTGATGTTTTTGAAATAATTCAAGGGATTGATAAAATTACATCTTGGGTTTCAGTGAATGCACTGATGAACTTCATTCGTTGGGTAGGGTGTAGGGGAAAGGCACAGTGCTTCCATGCCCTCTTTAGGCACAAGGTTCCTTCCTAAATCTTCATGCTCACCAACCTGAAAGCTCTATGAAGTCCCCTCCTTTCAGATTTTATGAAGGCTTCACTACGTAAGCCTGCTCAATAATATCTTTGCAAAGCCTGTAGCAATTGATTCAACCTCCAGGCCCTCTCCATTTCCCCCAAGGTTAAGGAGATAAGACTAGAACTTCCAACCCCCTATTTTGGTTGGTTGACAACCAGTCCCCAAATGTTACCTTCATTAATATACAAAGGACCCTTTTCACTAGTAATACTTATGAAATTTCAGGGGAGCTCTGGAGCAGGAACTGGGGATGAAGACCAAATATGTATGAGAAATACTTCTTTTGGTAATCTGAACAAATATATATTTCTTGAATCACACTATCACAGTAGTCAAGTATTTTTCTTAAGTCTGAAGTTGACTTTGGGCAATTTCTTTCTTATTATAGTAGACCAGCTATGCATCCACAGTGCAAAATGAATAATTCCAGAACATTCAGATGCCAGTAAATCTTAATTCAGAATATCAAGGTAACCAAGGCAAGAATCACCCAAATAATGCTGATGAGCACAAACATACACATATATAATCACTTGAAAGTATCAAGCTAATTTTCTTCCAAATCAAAGAGACTATATTAGGTTTTATATATATATATATATATATTTAAAATTTTTTATTAGGTTATATTTTTAATAATCTTTGTATCACATATAATGTAACCTTGCAAAGTCTACAAATCGTCATGCAAATTAGGAAGTCTAATTTGTACAAATCAAAACCCAAATAGATTTTCACAAGATGAACTTACCTAGGTTTCTAGCACCCAGAGACTGACCTCATATCCCTGTCCAGTTATCCCCTATCTCAACAAAGATTAGCTTTGCCCAGTTTTAAACTATAGTAAAGGACATCCTATAGAATATTCTCTTGAGTCTGGATTCTTTAACTCTGTGTTTGTGAGACTCATCCATTAGAACAGAGTTTGATTTATACTTAGGAACTTCAATAAACTCTCTTTTTACTCCTTCCACTTCCCCAACTCATCTTCCTTGCTTGTCAGACATGAACAACTTCTACGCCTACAAAATGAGACTGCCTAGAAACCACACCTCTGATGGTGACATAGCATACAACTAGGTGGAAAAAACGAGATTGATTTGTGTTTAGTAACTAATGCTTCCTCCATGCTGATTTTGTTTCCATCCTTGCAGACAACAGGGATTTCTCTAAGTAGACCCTGGTGCTTTCAGAAGATTAGTGGTTACTTAAATGCTGAGCTAAATCAGCCAAGCAGAGAATCACAACCATATTGTTAGAGGCAGTATTTGATTCTCAACATGCCAAGCCTGCAAGGAATTACCCCAAGAGAGATTACAAAATAAAAATCATTACACCAAAGGAGAGAGACACATTCTGTCTTGCTGAGTGACCACAGGTTTCCAAATTAGGGACTGATGCATTAATGTCTTATGCAAGAGTGACCCTTAAGGTAGTATGCTGTGTTCTTGCCACCCAGTGGATTCCAATATGACTATTAAGAGGAGGAAGCTTTTCAAAACCACAGGCAATCCACTTAAAAAGCTGAGCAAGTGTTACCACATATATCTATGCTCAACGAATCTTTTTTGCCCTGCGTTAGTATATAAGCAATTCCATGTTGAATCAACATAAAGGTTTACCCAGACCAGAATATTGTTGTGAATTTGCACTAGACAAATAAAGTCATTGTTCTTGACAACACCAACCTTAAAATGTAGGTGTACACACTGAATATGCTTAACTTTTCCTTGCAAACTCCTTCATGATCCAGTACCCATGGATTTATCTAAACCTTTCTCCATCCTAGGCGCAGTCCCCGTTAGGGCAATGAATTCTCTTTGTTCAGCCACCAGCTGTGTAAAATTAGTTTATTTTATTTATCATCAAACTACCTCCTAAACAAGCCCTCATAGATTAAACATTACACCACTCTGCCTGTTTATTTCATTGTGAGCTCACAAGAGTACAATAGAAATTATTTGAAAAATATTTCATCTGGGATCATTTTTAGTATCTCAATTATTCCTAACAACCTTCCTTACCTTAGGTTGTTTCTGTGACCCAGTTCCCATAAAGACACCCCCATTTAATCTACATGATATCTGTACCCTAAATAAAAATGTCATAATGTTAATATGAATTTAATTATTATTTTACTATCTTTTTTCTTCCAAAAAGATACCATTATCATGGCATAAGTGTAATCCATGTGAATGGCAGAAACAGCCATGTTTTTCGCAGAGAAGAACCCATCATTTTATATAATTGATTTGTGGGAAATGATAGCTCACTCGTGATATACAGAAACTCATTGGCCATGCCAGAAGGAATAATAATTGTCATTTATTGAGCACAAACAGTGCCAGATTCTGGTCTTTGCCACACTATCTCTTTTGATTGGTACAACTTTTTAAGGAAGATGCTGCTACTACCCCATCTCATACAAGAGGACACAAAAGCTTAGTGAGGCATTAGCTAGTGACAGAGCCAGAATTCAGCCTGCATCTGTTTGATTCTATAACCACTCCTTACTTCCCTAGGATCATTGGGTTGCTTTGGCGGAAGTCTAGTTTCTAAATCTGATCCCACCTCCCTGAGTTATCTTGAGGAACAGCATTGCATCTGTTGGAGTCTCACCCTCACCTGTAAACCATGACTGACCAAATCTGGTCAGACTCCCACCAGCTTTAAAATATTGGCTCTGTCTGTTCTCTCTCCATTCCCACAAAGAAACAGCTTTTGTTCAAGTCTGCTCAAGACCATAGTTAACACCCAACCATAGGACCCACCTATTTTCGCTTTATGTCTGTATTTTCATCACTAAGAGAGTTTGATTCCTTCTGAAGAGTTTGAAAATGTGATTTATTTTCCTATATAAACAGTATGTACCTCTTCAATAAAATCCTGTTGTTTTTATTTCACTTCTGGAAAAAAATGCTGTAAAAATAATAAGAAAAAAGGTCTTAAAATTATGTGAAGGGATTGAACACTCTGTCTTTGTAGAGATCAAAAAATAGAGAAGGGAAATTGTGGGTCCATTTCTCTCCTCTGAGGTCGGTCATAAAACTCTCCATTAAGAATGACATTGTGGGCCCTCTCTGGTGGCACAAGGGGTTAAAGTGCAGCACTATGAAGCTATTTGCAGCCAATACAGCAAGAGTTCTATCCCCAGTCAGGGAGCTGACCCACATGGCTTAGCAGACCTCTCCTGTCTCCTTTGCTGCTCCCCTCAGCAGTGTGTTTCAGTCAATCTGCCTGTTCTGCTCCCCACTCTGTCTCTAGTGAATCCCCTCACCATCCATATACCTCTATCCTGTACCCCAGTTCTGTATGCATAAATAAATTTATTTATATATAAATAAATCTTTTAAAAAAAGAATGACACTGCAGAGATTGCTTCCTGCTTTCTTGTGTCTATGCAAGTGTCTTATTTTTGTCATGATTCTGTGCAAGTATTTATGTCAATTATCATATTTTATTTTCAAACAAGTATACATTTACCATTTCTACCAATGAGAAAACTGAAATGTAGAAGTGAGGAAGGTGTTACCCTAGCAAGTAGCATGGTTCGAAACAGGCCACCTTGGCTTTGTAGCCCACACTTCACCTGTTCTCTGATTTGAAGCCAGAAATTGTAGCCTAATTCATAACTTCTCTTATCAGTTACTAATATACACTTACTAACCAGTCTCATGCTTTCATTGATGCTGAATCACAAAACCTCCAGTCATTCTTCTCCAATGGCCCTAACATTCCAAAGTAAGAAAAATAAGTGTAACGTGGGCCATGCAGCCAAAACCAGAGGACCCTGGAACTAGAAATTCCATCTGTCTTTGTCACTGCGGGCAACCTCAACCTTTGCTCCAATAAAATGGAGGCTCTAGAGCACAACAAAATGGCTTTACTCTAATGAAGGCATAGCAATCCAGCATACTCTGATCTAATGATTGTAGTTTGGATCAGTGTCAGCAGATATTATAACCTAAGAAAGGAGGCATGGTGTTAAAAGGAAGATGGTCACTGTTTAAAAAAAAATTTTTTTTTTAAGATTTATTTATGGGACACAGGCCAGAGGTGCAGGGAGTAAGAGGATTCACCAGCCACAGAGTGGGGAGCAGAACAGGCCAAGTGACGAAGTACACTGCTGAGGGGAGCAGCGGGCGGGTCAGGAGAGGTCTGCGCCATGGGGGTCATGCCGCGGCCAGCTGTGCTTTAGCCCACTACACCACCAGGGAGAGACCACTATTTAAAATTTTTAATCCAAACCATAGTAAAGATGTCTTCTCTTAAGGAAAGAATAAATATTACTCTGAATGTTTTTAAGTTACCTGACTGTATCATGCTGAGTTTGTCATTCTATGATTTTTGTCTTACCCAGGTGCACAGAACCACCTAATCTTGTTCTCTTGTAAGATACAGCCTGCCACTGAGCACTTCTGACCCACATAAAGACTGCAAATTGAAAGGGCTTGGGAATCAAATGCTAATCAGGTTTGGGAGAACCCAAGGACAAGTGACCTCAAAGCAGCATGGACAACCATGTAAAATAGACTGTAGCGGCCATTTATTAGTGGGGGGAGGGGGGAGCCAACCAGAGCAGTCAATGCTTGTCGCATCTTTTGGTGGAACCAAAGTTTGAGTCTTTGTGTTTTTAAAGGCCAACTGGACCCAGCGCACGGGCGTGCTGTTAGCCAACTGGGGTGGGAAATCCGTGGACGGTCCTAAGTGATTCGAGTGCTACACACTCAAGGGAGCAGCTCTACAAGACTATCTTTTATGTATGAAGAAGTGATTCTTGTTTGGAAAGAAAACACAAGACCTGTCCTAGGAGTGGGGATCACATTTCGACAGCCAGGACGGCACTCGCCGTGCAAACCTGCTTTTCATAACAAACTGGACAGACTTACGTGTGGCCCCTTCCTCTCTGGTACTTTGCCTGCTGTATGAATGAAGATTGTATTCCTCTGGAAATATTTTACAGTTTAATATTGAGTGTAATTAAGAATATAATCATGTTATCAAAAATGGTATTTAACGCTGTTGTAGTTTCTTTAACATTCATGTGGATAAAAAAAGTCTATAATAAAAAACTATGACGTAATAGTTGTGTTATTGTAGTTAAATGCATATTTGCTTGGGGGCTGCGAATAGAAACGAAAACTTTTTAGAATTATTTTGGCATAAAATATTTGAATAAATTATTTTTGAAAACTGAATTCCTCCAAAAATGATTATTAAAGTCTAGATTAGTCTTTGGCCATTGTCAACTGGAGACCTCCCCTTATGGTAGAATCTTTGGTGGGTTAGGGAACGTACAAAGATGCCACAAGTTTCCATGGAAGTTAGGACTTTCTCTCTGACTTGTTCTTCCAGGGTCCTGGGTCTGGGGCTCATGCAGTCCTGCTGCTGTGAGATACATTTCTAGAACTGACAGTTGTACTTAAAGCAGTAAGTAGACTCCCATGGTAGCGTGGGGCTCTTTCTCTGAAATTAGTTTTAAATTACACCCAGGGATAGAAACCTTATGTCCTTAACTGTATATTCTCAGCCAATAATACCAGAGGAAATCAAATGTCCTGGGAGGACACCAAGCTGGCTTTATGACCAGTCACCAGGGGACAGCAGCAGTCACTATATCTCGATGCAAACTCTGAGATCAGAGAGTTGCTCAGAAAAAGATCAGCAACTTGGTCAGGAGTCCAGGGAGAGAAGTAACTAGCAAATGAAATGAAGGTCTCGTCCTGCAGCTGCATTAGCTGCAATGTAAACAAGACTAAAGTATGGTTCTTTCCTTTCCAGCTACAACTTTAAATGTCTTTAGCTTTATTAGTGCTAAAATCAGCAAATGATCTTTTGCAAAGAGGACATCTGAACCAGGTAACTTGACTAGTATGCTTGAGACCCTCAGTTATGAGAATATATGTATAAAGCAGGAATTGTGTTAATGGCCAGGCTCAGTGTGAAAGACAATTGACCTCTGATTCTGAGATCACTCACATTATACATGTGCTTCCCAGTTCTCATCCTTCTCTGGAGGAACCAGATTGTACATCTCTTCCCGAGCACTGAGACTCCATCCATAGTCTCACAGCCTTGGTCTCACTCTTTTTCAAGGTATTTTATCATACTGAGCCTATTCCTTACAAATACCAGTGCCTAACAATTTTCCATGCAACCAAAAAATTATATGACAAAAACTTCCAAAGGAAAAGAGTCAAGGAAATCCAACTTAAATAAGGAAATATCATTGTATTTTCTCGCTAAGGAAAATGAGAAACTCTATCCTAGCAAAGCTTGGTGCTTCTAAGTTGGAGCAAAAGGAATTTGCCTGTAAAACTGGATGTGATTTGGTTATCTGAGCTGCCGTATGGAAAAAGACAGGACATCCATCTAAAGTACAGCGTGCAGCTAAAAATAAAGGCACTCTTCAGAAGGACAAATAAAAATTCTTGACTCAGCAAAATGACAGCAGAAAAATGCTATGCTTTTTTATTTGACTGTTTTATAAAGATAAAATTCCCAGGTGAAGCCAAACGTAATTAATGAAGAATATGGCAATGCAAATAAAATCCTCTATTTTAATTCCAAATGAAATTATACGATCAGAAAGAGTCATAGCAAATCAAAGCAGAAACCCCAACCTCAGCATTAATATATTTCCTGTTGGGATGGACTAGCCATTTCAGACTGATGCGTTTGCTCCTCAGAATGTCTGGTAATTGCCCTGCTATTTGCCATTGGCAAGGAGAGTGGGCCTTCACATCCTAGCCTCCTTAGATCGAACAATGAAGATAGCCTCAGCTCTGTGGAAAATAGGAGAATTCTCTCCTAGCTACAGGGGATATGATCAGGCAGATAGGACCTCTTTCATTTAAGAACAAGTGTTAAGAAAGCATTGGCCAGCAGTGAGGAAGGTCAGAGAAGAGAAATACCATCAGCCCATCAGCATACTAAGAAAATGTAACACGACATCCTAACCAACTCCAGCCCCATGAGGAGAGCCCCCTTGTCTCTCTCTACAGAGTTGAGAACACAGAGTTCAAGCCTGACCCTCTTATGAAGTTCCCCATAGATAGCCCAACTCACTGTGTGATTATACCCTTTTCTTTTTGTGGAAGGTGTGGACTGTAAACAGGACGCAGCTGTTCATTTCCGTTCATTACCATCTTCCTAGTTATGAGCACAGTCTCTGACATGTAATAGCCATACAAAACATTTTTGTTGAATGAGTAAATGAATCTATTTTATTTGAGCTAACTGCAACGTATTATCCGCAACATGTTATTTCACTAATATCTATTTAAATGCTTTTTCAAAAAAGGTTGACATTTGACTTTAAATGCCATACTGACATGTGACAAATTGCTAGTTGCCATCCAACAGTAACCATCGTCAGGTAACATTACAACTAAATAAAAGACTGTATTTCCCAAGTTTCCTTGCCATGAGATGAGGTCTTATCACTCTATTCTAGCCCCTGGATGTAAATATATGAAACTTTCAGAAAGAACTTGCTTTATCCAATGTTTCCTTTTCCCGTCCCTTTCCCTCTTTTATGATGTCTTTAATGTGGATGGAGTCCCAAAGCCCTCATAGGCCCTGAAGATTGGTTATAGAAGCCTAGACAATGACCCAGTTGATGAAGAGTGGTGAAAACAACTCACCATTCTAACTCAGAACTGCTCACTTTCAGATTTCTTTTATGTTGGAGAGAAATGAAACTTTATCTTATTTAACCCTATTGCTTTAGATTTTCTGTTAACTCTGATAACAAAACCATTTTCTGCATTTGGGAGCTTTGATCCACCAAAAGGAACACAAATTCTTATTTGTGTGCTAGATTTCCAATGTAGAGTTATGTGTCCATTTGTGTCATTTTATGTTCTCTTTAGCTTTTTGATTTAACTATGAATATGAAGGCTAGTTAGTTACAGAATCAAGCCACAGAATCAAGTTACCTACTGCCATGCAAGTTTTTTCTGCTCAATCTCTTGGCTTCATCATCACAACTAAGCCACTTGTAATATCTCTGATATCCCCTGTGGCAATATATGCAAGTGAAGATGGTGGAAAAGGCTGGATTGGAACTTGGTCTGCTGCCCAGGGTAGGAACTGAGCTGGAGAGGTACACTGTCCAGAAGAACATTCTTGTCTGATACAAGCAAAACTGTGACCAGGTATTTATCCAGGAGAGCACATGTGAATAGCACATGTGAATAGCACATGTGAATAGTCACAGGGCTGGCAAGCTTAACACCAGTCACCGCTATCATGATGCTCACTTGTCATCCATGGTAGTTTTATCTTGGGAAATTGCACCACTGAGAAGAAATTAGGTGACTGGAAACAAGCCAGGTTCTCGATTCAGGAATGTAACAGAGTGAGAGCAATATAATGCAGTAACCCATGTGGGCACTGACCCGCTAGTCAGAGGGCAACAGGTCAGTTTGGCAGGTCAGGTCACAGCCCAGTGACTCTCACACTTGAGCCAGTAGTTCAGGACATAGAAGAGGCTGGAAGAAGAGAACTAAGGCTTTCTAAACGGCTCTTTCGCTCCTATCTGGACTTTGGCTCTGAAACAAGGTGACAGCTACAGATGGAGGAGAAATGGGAAAAAAGGTGATTTTGAACTGAGAAAGGTTCCAGAAAAGCAGAACTGAGAATACCTTTCTGCAAATGGCTACTTTCTTCCATACCAAGCTTAATAAAAATAAATGTAGCTTAGAAATAATATTTAGGTTAACTAAAGTAAATAATCATTCTGAAAAGCCACAACACTCAACCAAAGGAAGAATTCCCTGAAAGCATGGCTAATGCCTGGAGTTTTCAAATAATAAAATTCATTCTTCTTATCCAACTTTTACATCATCTCACTCTTAAGGACAGTGGCTTCCTGGATGATTGTTAATGATGGTTTTCTTTATTATATTTTAGACCATTTAGCAAAGTTTATTGATTTATACTTCCTTGTAATTAGTTGTAGTGATTAAAATAGCTTTTATGGCCCTCTAGAGATTGACTTTTTAAAGAATCAACATTTCCCCCAAATTGTGTGCTTTACAACATGGTTAAATACTGTTTGAATTCACTGCTAAACCATCACTGGTGAAGCTGTGATTTTATATGTATTTGCTTTCTCATCTCTTTACTTATACGGCACTATCATCCAATTACTTGGCAGCCAATAATAATAACAGCAGCCAACTTTCACAGAGTGATTACAATAACTGAACATTGGGCTGTGTCTTAATGCATTATTTCATTTAATCTTCTTAACAACCCTGCGAGGCAAGGACTATTTAACTACTTAACTAGTCTAATTGAAACGAAGGAGTTTAGTCACTCAGTTCATAAGTGGAAATTGGGAATTTGAACCTTGGGTTACTATGATTTCAAAACCTCAGATTTTAACCACTAACTCCACCGCTTACTCTTTATGTAGGTGAATTAGCATTCACCTGAATGACATCATTTCAAAGTACATTGGATACCAGATGGTTTCACTTGTAGCAGGAGTATAACAGACCAGGCAATAATAATAATAATAATAATAATAATGAACAGTTATATACCAGAGACATTTTATGGAGGTGGAGTGGGAAATGGGATCAAAAACAGTGGGAGGAGGAAATGCACTGGACTATGGTGATGGCACATGGGTGATTTGGTGATGGGAAGCCCACAGGGGTTACAACTGAGATGAAAAAAGGCACAAAGTGATGTAAAAATAGACTATTATATTATTTAAATACACACACACACACACACATATATATATATATAGTGTCATCCTGTTGGCAAATTCTTGAATGTACCAAACATGGTGCAAAATACTAGGAAGCAGAAAGCTCCTGTTCTTCAGATCCATGCTGTTTAGTGGAGGATTCCTTTATAAAGAGAAGGAATGCTGGGCCTCCCTGGTGGCACAGGGGTTAAAGTTTCAGCACTACCACTGCAGCATGAGTTCTATACTGGCCAGGGAGCTGACCCACATGGCTCGGCAGACCTCTCCTGTCTAGCCTGCTGCTCCCCTCTGCAGTGTACTTCAGTTGGCCTGTTCTGCTCCCCACTCTGTCTCAAGTGACTCCTCTCACCATCCCTGCACCTCTGGCCTGTACCCCAGTTCTGTATGATAAAAGAAGAAGTTACACAAAAGCATTGTGAGTA